CCAGCTGCAAGTATTACAGGTGAAGTATGGTTGAAGTTAGATTGGAATAGAGGTTGTAATAGTTGTTTAGTTTGTGTGATTTTGGAGGATCTACGTAGATTTATAGTGATGTTAGCCGTTTAAAAATCCTTAGCCGTCTAAGCCGTTTACTACCTAAATTGGCAATTTTATTTCTATAACAAGAAAGCAATGTAGAAATCTATTACCAAATTTAGAAATTATACATGCAGATTATTAGCCGGCTAACATCCATTTATCTTTTTTTCTTTCTTTTTCTATATTAAGCACAATACTGTGAAAAGCATCTAAATGTTTTCAGTCTGTGTCTTTGCATTCTTTTAGTTGATAGTCAAAAATCTTTAATAGATCCATTGGAAAACATGTTTCATAACATTTACACAATTTACTTAATTTTCTTAATTTTTCAAAATTTTAGTTGTCTTATATGTTCTGCTTGTTCTTGGATTATTTTATCTTTTTTTAGACAATTTTTACAATCATTATTTTCTTTCATACTTTTTATTAAGCATTTTAAAAAAAACCAAGGTATATCCTGTATCTTTTTTTATTTTCATGTAAATAAACTGACCTGGAGGTCAATTCGCTACTTTTACATTAATGATCACCAATTTTTCTGGAAAAAATAATCCAATTAATTGTTACACACATTGATCTTGCAAGCTCAGTTTAGAATATTCGAACCAGTGCTATCTGCCTTGAAATATATCTACATACCTCTTCGTAATCGAATATCGCCTTTGTATCCTGAGTGTTCCTTTTTATGATAGTTATAAAATTTCCATCAATTCTATGCATATACTGCTTAGGATTGTCAGTGAATCTACCTTGAGTCTGTTATTTTTAGATTTGCGAGACATATTTGATAATCTATATTAATATTGCTAAATGACTTCAATTTTTTTTCTTGACTAAAGTTGATTGGCATTGCGCACACCTCATTTCATAAGTGCCTCTATATCCCGACATATATAAAATTACTTTTTAATGTTTCATGAGATATTAAGCCCGTTGCATTGTTGGTTTTACTAAAGGGTTCACTTTCACAAAGAAATGTATGTACCATGAGGTATTTAAATATCGAAATTCTAAAATAAATTTTCTTGCACAGCCAGTGTACAACATATAGATTATCAAACTTGAATTTCTTCTAATTCATTAATATAATAGAAACGATATGGAGAAGACACTCAACTATTTCATAACTATATTGATATACTTGAAAAAGTAGATATTGGAAGATCAATGTTAGGGAAGATTCTCAAAGAGAGAAGTATGCTTGAGGGGCAACATCCACAAAGAAATACTTGTAGTTATGGTAAAAATAGCGTTGGCCAACATTATTCAAATCTAATATAATATAACAACTTGTTGTTAAAGAAACGAGAAAGATATTAAACCAACCAATGTCATGTAAATGACTTAACAAACATGAAAAAAATCTAAATTCCCCAAAATTTTATTATTTATAATTAAGGATGCCCGCCCGCCCACTTTTCAAATGAATTGAAATTAAAAAAAAATTAAATAACTATGTATATATATATATATATAATGAAATAGTTTAATAAAAATAGTTTTACTACTATTTTTCTCCAATATACCCATCCTATTAATTTATAATTATTTAGTATATAGCAGAGTGAATCAACCAATCAATCAAAAGAAAACATTATTATTATTGCACTCACTTTCTCAAGTAGTAAAACGATTTGATGACAAATTTCACTAATGCCTTGTTTACTAACGTCAACAACAATATTTGCATCTTCTGGTTTCTGATATGGATCATCTACACCTGTGAATCCTTTGATTTCACCAGATTGAGCTTTCTGTTATATATGATATTTAACATCAATACAACTTGGTGAATAATGGTTCCTTTTTTATATCTTGATAACTTTTTTTTATATTTATATACACTGACATACCTTGTAAACTCCTTTTCGATCAGTCTTAATACAATATTCCAGTGGTGTATTAACATGAATTAAAAAAAATGCTCCATAAGTTTCGACATTTTTTCTCGCTAATTTTCTTGCTTCATCAAATGGAGCAATTGGTGCTGCTATGACTGCTGCTCCTGCCTTTGTCAATTCTGCTGACACAAATCCAATTCTTGCGATATTTTGATCTCTATCTTTACGAGAAAATCCAAGTTCTAAACATTCAAAAAACCCCCCATTAAAATCGAAATAATTTCTAATATAGTTTATATAAATTTTGTTGGACATTCACACTTACCAGAACTTAATTCATGTCGAACAGTTTCACCCAATAGTAGTGTAACGCTTCTTCCACCTTGTTCATTTAAAACAACTTGTAAGGCTTTAGCAATTGAATCTTTGCCAGAATTATAATATCCTGTCAAGAATAAGGTGAATCCTTGTTTTGTCCTTGGTGGATGAGTTTCTCTTAAAACTTTTACCACTTCTGGATATGAAAACCATTCTGGGATATGTGCACCTGTACGTAATCTCCTGCGTAATTCAGTACCTGAAATATTAAGTGTATTTGTATCAGGAGGTATTTCATCAATTGGTACATATTCATCGGAGTCTGGTAAATATGTTACCATTTGAAATGGTACAACTTCAATTTTTAATTCATCTTTATACTTGGCAACCAATTCCTAACCAATATTTTTGTATGAGTGAATGAATGAACGAATGGATGAATGAATAGTGATTGATTAATGATGTATGAAAGAAAATATATACCTGAGCTTCATATGCACCATAAAAATCTTTACCATCGCTATTTTTACCAGGCCCTGCATGGTCTCTACCAATGATAAAATGTGTTGCGCCAAAATTTTTTCTGATAATTGCATGCCATAATGCCTCACGTGGACCTCCCATTCTCATAGCTAATGGCAATAACCCTAAAGCTGCCATACCATTTGGATATTTTGCCATTATTGTTTGATAAACCCTCACTCTTGTATAATGATCGATATCACCTGGTTTGGTTAATCCAACAACTGGATGGATCAAGATGTTGGCTTGACGAATGCGTGCAGCTCTTACTGTTAATTCACGATGAGCTCTGTGCATTGGATTACGTGTTTGAAATGCTACCACTTTTGCCCAATTTAGTTTTTTAAAATATGCTCTCAACTCTGCTGGTGTATCTATTATTTATTGTATTTTATGTATTTATATATGATATACGCAAAATGATAAAAATTATCTTTTGTTCTCTCGTATTGACTACCACATGCACATATGAATAAATATACTTACATCTATGGGCCACATAATCATAGTGAATAGGTGTTTGGATGGCTTCAACGTTTCCACCAACATAAAATTGCTTAACTTTTTTATGCAAGTAATCAACACCAGGATGTGCCGAATCATTATATCCGAAAACTTTTATAGCTTCGTTTATTTTATTTGGTGAGTAGATATCTTTAATGGTGAGTATTGCCAGCGATAAATCATCTCTAGGATCACGTAATACTACACGTTTGCCAACAGCAAGATGAAGCGTGTCAATATCATTTTGTGAAACATCAAGTGTAATTGGAATTGAAAATACCAATCCATTTTTTAATCGAAGATCATCCACTACGCTAAAGAAAAAATTATTTTACATTTTTTTGATATTTAAACAAATCATAGTTAATTCATCATCCGAATGATTTATTGATTTATTTTTACCTTTTGTAATCTTCTTCAGTCATGAAACCTTCTAATGGTGAAAAACCACCATTCATTATTAATTCCAAATCACATAATTGACGTTCAGATAAAATAATTGATGATAATGTTTCTGATTCATTCTTCAGTTCTTGTTGTTTCGAAGCATCTCTAGAAAGTAAATCTTTTAAGATACCCCCGTGTGGTTGATTTGCCATTTTAATTTGATTTCGTTTTTTTTTAAAAAATTTTTGATGGTTTCAAAAAAATTTTTTAATCTTCACTAGTTTTATACATTTTTATAATAGTAGCAATAGCAACAATTTTACCGAAAAGCACGCAATTGATTTTTTTATGTTGTAGAATAAAAAAATCCCCGTAATTAGAAAACGTGTTGATCTTCTTTATTCACACTATGTACATTCTGTAATTTCTGTGATCAATGATGTGATGTAAAAAAAAAAAACGAGATGATCAACAAAAATGTCGAAAATTAATCATTGATTAATTAATGCATGCGGGGGGCCAATCCAGCTTCAGTTTAATAAATCGAACCAATTGGAAGGTCTGCGCAACCATAGAGAACATTTATTTTATTATTGTTAAAATTTATTTGTTTAATATCATCGATATTATTGTAAAATGTATATTTGTTTTGAAACTTTTCTTCTTTTGTACATTGTCTGATTTTGTTGCAGAGTATAATATAAAAAAATGTATTATTATCGTTATTGCCCAATTATAAAAAAAAAATATTGAAATAATTACAATGATATTATTATTATTAATAAAAAATAATAATAATAATGAAATGAAAATGAAAATGAATAAAAAAAAAATAAAGTCCTATTTAACAAATAAAAAAAATTTATAAAAAATTAATAATAATTGTTTTTGATTTGAGAAAAAAGTCCATCTACCCAATATCAATGTCTATCTACACATATTCATCAAGATCCATATCCATTACTACCAATCTAGTTGCTTCAATACTTTTTAAATTTAGACATTTATCGTAAATTATTTGTTTTTGTTGTTTATTGTTATCGTCATTGTCATTGTTGATATTCTCGTAACCTTGTTGAGCTAAACTTTGAAATGTTAGAACGCGTTTAATAATTGTTGCAGTTGTACGATGTTTATGGAAATTGACTAATGGTTTCAATGGTTGTTGTGGCTTTGGTGATAAAGGAGGAGGAAATTGTTGATTTTGTTGATTTGTCAAGTGTGATAATGGTGTTGAGGGAGTTGATGATGCTATTGAGGATAATGAGGATGAAGGTGATGAAGGTGGTAATGATGATGAAAGTTGGAATGGTAGAGAGGAAGAAGGTGTATTTGTTGTTGGTGGATCGATGTATGATGGAATTGCAGCATTAAAAACCAAGTCTGAAAGATACAATCCTACAAATAAAATAAAATTGAAATTAAAATAAAATAAAATAAAATAAAATAAAATAAATAAAAATATTAAATGAAAATTTACCTAAAAAAGGAATGCACCCAGTATTATTACTATTGGTACCAGTATTATTATTAATTTTTTTAGCGTCAGATCCATGTCTTTTTCTCAATGGTGATTTATTATTGGCAGATGTATCGGCTGCAGGAGGATTTTCTTTTATTGTCGTTGTTGACTTATCAACAGCTTGACGCATTGCATCTCTAATAACTTTCCAATTTCCGAATGGTGAAATATATTCGTTTAATTCTTTCAGAATCTTCAATTCGGCTGATCTGACACGACTCCATGTTCGTCTTAATCGCTCAACAGGTGGTGATCGTAATCCGAGAAGGATTTGTGTTAATGTCGAAAAATTTGAAAGCTTTAGACATTTCTATTGATATAACAATATAAATAACATTTGCAATTAATATATATATATATATATATATACATTTTAAAATAAATAGACAAGTATTCATCTATTTATATAATTTTAATAGTACCTGAGCAATATGTATAAATTTTTCTATCACTTTTACTCGATCTTCCAAAGATCTTGTTAAAATAACTTCTGTTGCGACCCAATCACATGTCTATTGATAATTTTATAAAAAAAATTCATTATTAATATGTATATTACTAATAATATTTATTTATTCACTATTAAATATTGTCATGCTAACCAAACGAAATCTTTCGACAACTTTATCAACGCCGTTTTCTTTTTGTTGAAGGCTTAATTTTTGTCGTGGAGTTAATTCTTCTTGTTGTTCATCCTCCACTTGCTTTCCCTCATTCCTCTCCATTCCAGATTCTTCATATTCTGCCTCCTTTCTTTTGCCCTTTGCATCTTTTTTATCTCCACCAACATTATCTTTATTACTATTATCATTACTATTACTATAACCAACTTGAATTAAATCTTCCCATTTCACTTTTAACAATAAATCACATTCAATTAAACAAAATTGTTTTGCTATCGCATCAGATCTGTACATTAATATAAAAGACTTGTATGATTGCTCATTTTGCTGTTGATGACGATGATGCGGATGACTTCTAGAATTGATACTAGTTGAGTCTGGCGAAGATGGTGTACGAATGTGTAGATCATTATGCTTATGTTTATGATTACGATTATTACGAGATGATGATGGAGATAAAAGTTTTTTATCATTGTTGTCGGTAGTGGTATTAACAGCGTTGGTGTTAGTATTTTTAGTTATTGGATTTTTCTTACTAGCACTATTATTATTGCTTTGACGAATTGAAAAGGTCCCTATTGTACTACTACTTTTCTTTGTTTTTAAAATATTACTATTATCATCCTTAATATTAGGAGTAGTGGGTGTGACAAGATCGCCACCGCCTCCACTACGATTTGATGAACCAAATTTAAAACTTTGAGAAATTATTTTTAAATTTGATATATTTGGTGGCTTTAAACTTGTTCGACTACTTTTTTTTAATTTAGAGGTTATTGTTTTAGCTGCTGACGTTGATGATTTTGTTGATGTTGGCGTTAATGATATAGGTAATTGCTGCTGCTGCTGCTGCTGCTGCTGCTGCTGCTGCTGCGCTTGTTGTTGCTGTTGCGCTTGTTGTTGCTGTTGCTCTTGTTGTTGCTGTTGTGGTTGTTGTTGCTGTTGTGGTTGTTGTTGCTGTTGCGGTTGTGGTTGTGGTTGTGATTGTTGATTTTGCTGTTTTTGTTGTTGTTGTTGATTTGTTGTTGTTGTTAATTTATTAGAAGAATCTTTAGCATCTGAAGAAGAAGAAGAGCCGACCAGAATATCGTTATTGGTATTATCGTTACTTTTGCTACTGCTTCCAACATTATGGTTATTACTTCCACTATTATTGTGAAGTTCTTCAACACCACCAACCGAAGACATTGTACTCCAAGAAACTCTTTTAGTGGATTTTTCTTCTTCTAAATCTTTAAGGGTTGTGGCAGAGCGTAAATTAAGTACTTTTGGAAGTCTACGAAGTGTATGTGTTGAATGTTGATTTTCATCATCATCATCTTCAATATATTCCTCTTCTTCCTCATCATTTTCAGTATTTTTATTATTTTCTTCTTCGATAAAAGGTACTTTTTGTTCAAGTGAACTCATCGCTGTTGCAGTTGGTGGAGTGGTAACTATTATACTAGTAGCAGTGGTGGCTGTAGTTAGTGTTTTAGAATGAGACCCGTCATTGTTATCATCATCATTTTCCTCCTCCTCATTATTATCTTCAACTTCAATAACAGGAACTAAATCCCAGACCTTAGTATGCCTACGTCGAGTAGGTTTATTATTGTTATTATTATTACCACTACCACTACCGCTACCATCACTATTAATATCATTACCGCCATTTGTATCATTTACATTTTGTTCTTTCTTGTGCTCATAACTTTTTTGTGCATTCTTTTGACTTTCATTATCTTTGCCATCCTTATCATCGTCATCATCATCATCTTGAGTTGAAGAAGAAGCAGTAGAAATACGATGTGGATGATGGTAAATGTTTTTTGAATCGGTGATAGGTGTAGTAGAACTAGAACCTGAAGCTACAATGTCTCCTACACCCCCTCCTTCTTCATATATATCATCAACAGTAATATTTTGATTACCATAATCACCATCACCGTCGTCATCATCGTTTTCCCACCTACCAAATTGACCTTCTTCATCTAAATCTTCTTGTCGCAACCTATCAAAGTCTTCATCTTCAATCGATTCATCAACATACGAAAATCCATCAATATGAAAAAAGTCATCTATAGTGCTACCGTGACCAATAGAACCAGTATTTTCGCCACCTTTATTAGTTTTGCCATTATTGTTGCGCCTATTTTTTTTACCTTTTTTTTTCTTTTTTTTATTGCGACGTTCAAAACCGCTCGGGCTATTGACGGGATTATGAACTTTATCAGAATCACTGCTATCATCATCATTTATTTCATCAGGTGAGGTAGCACATAACATTTTTATACCAGTTAGTCTATTTGTAGTATTTGTATTAGCGTTAGTAGTCCTATCATCATCATCATCATTGCTAGTGTTGTTACCACCTCCAACACCTACGCCACAAAAACCTAGTCCAATACCAATACTACTGCTATTAACATCATGATTGTTGTTGTTGTTGTTGTTGTTGTTGTTGTTGTTGTTGTCATTGTTGTTGTCATTGTTGTTGTCATTGTTGCTCGCGTCTTCAGTGACTGCGGTTGGACTTTTATTTTTATCGGCTATAGATAGTGCTTTTGTTAATCTGACCATTGTATTTGACATCTTTCTTGTCCAATATGATCTACCACCGCTATGGATATTAACGTTGCCAGGAGTTGGCCCACCACCAATATATGCCGGTGATGAATTTCTTCTTCTGCCAGCAATTCCAATAGCGTGATCAATTTGTGAAAGGTCATTTCCACCAATTTCCGTCACAAAATTATCTTCTATTTCTTCATCAAGAACATGTTCATGACCAATATTGTTAATTTTCTTTTTTTCACCAACAGTGTTTTTGTCATCATCTTCCTCTTCATCGTCATCTTCAGCATAACCACAAAAGGCTTCAGAAAATGACATGCTTCTTTTTTTTCTTGAACTATTACTACTATTCCGAAATTTTTCTAGTGAAATGGTTGACCTCAATTTAGTTTTTATTTTAAAATTTTTTTTAAAAAATAATAAACTTGGTGAAAGAGGCGGCGGTTGTTGTGGAGTAGAATATGGTTGAGATGGGGATGTTGTTGGGGATAATATTAAATTATTCTTATTGTTTTTATTAGCATTAGTATTATTATTTTCTATTTCTATTTTATCATTATTGTACATAATGTTCTCAATGCCCTGATTAATGCTCGGTGGTTTATTTATTATTATATCATCATCTTCATCAACTTCTTCAATAAAATCATAATTACTTTTATAGATATAGCTTCTTCCTTCTATACTACCAGTACTCCCTATACTGCTAAAACTTTCCTTACCTTTTACTATTTTACTACTACTGCTACCACTCGTACCTATAATAGTACCAGTAGATCCTATCATCTCTGTTCCGATACCTACGCCAGCGCCTACGCCAGCGCCTACGCCAGCGCCTACACCAGCGCCTACACCAGCAGCATCATTGATACCTTCTTTTTCACCTTCCTTGTATCCTTCTTCTTTATCATCCTCATTACCTTCCTCGTTATCTTCTTTTTCAGAACGTGATAGATCTAATCCTGGTTTAGGATAATAAATTTTTTTTAATCTCTTTATAACACGTTTTAAACCATGTACAATTCTTTGATCGAGTGATGAAGATTTTACTGATTGACGTCGCGACAAAGAATTCAGGTATGACGTTAATCTTGATCTTAGAGCGTGGGACGGTATGAAATCGTATGTGAAATAGTTGAGTAGCCAATGTCGTATTGTTACAAATGTTCTATGAAGATTTGAGAGGGAGAGAAGAATGAGACAAATTAGAAAATAGGAAAAAGCTTTTTAACAATAATGAGTATCGTTATTCTATAAACTAATATTATAAATTATTATTCTATAAATTAATATTCTGTAAGTTAATAATAATATTATCGCTATCATAATTGTTGTTATTATTACCTGATTCTCACTATTCTTCTATTTTCATCATTAACATCAAGAGCCCAATCAAATCGTAGTATTAATAAATTACATAGTTGGAAAGGTGAAATAAATGATCGATAAGTCAGGAAGAAATCGGTCAGAAATGTATAATCTAAATGAAAAAAAGGTTTTTTTTTAGAAATATAGAAAATAAAATAACATTAAAATAAAAATTTACAAATGATTAATACCAATTGTATTTGTTAACTTTTCGATCAATTTCTCAACAGTAGCAGCCATTATAATTTTTTCGGTTCCATTGTTACTATTTTTATTATTATTTTTATCATCGTAGCTAGGATGATGATGATGATGTTGATTATGATATTTCTTTTTTTCGGTAGTAGTAGCGGTAGTTACAACAATAGGTCTGGAAGGTTTTCCTATAGTTCCATTCACACTCCAACGTTTCTTATTAACATTATTATTATTATCATCATCATCATCGGATGAAGAAGAGCTACTTAAAGTTGATGTAGGTGTGATATTTGAAATTGAGCTGATGTTACTTTTTTTTTTTTTAATTGTGAATTTGTTAGATGAAGATGAAGAAGATGAAAAGGTAGAATCCCCCTCGTTTCTTCTTCTTGATGATGATGAAATTATCGACCAAACTATTAATCTTGGATCATCGTCAGATGTTATTTGATCGAATATTTCAATTCCGTAATCAAGTGTTGGTAAAATGAATGATAATGATTGTTTTAGTGAATTTTGTGAATAATGATCTTGACTTTGCGTAAAATGGTCGTTTTGCTTTTTTCCTTCATGTTCATTTAGTTCATTTTCATACTCTTGTTCTTCTTGTGGCTGTAAAGAATGTAATAAATTTGAATTTGAAGAATGCGGTTGTGATGAAATTACCTCTGAATGTTTTGACATTGAATAACGATCATGAGGTAATATGAAAAACGCTGCGGTTGATAATGATGATGGATTATTTGTTATGATGTCACCACTGGTTACAGAAAATTTTGAAGCCTCTAGAATTATTTCACTGTCACTAACCAAGTTACCCGCTGGTTTATTATCATTATCACTATCGTTAAATCGATTTTTTAATTTTGGTGAAGATGATGAATGAAGTATTTTTTTATGAAGATTTTGCGATGATGATGTTTGATTTGAATTATTATCCCGTTTATGAGAAGTAGGAGGCCAATTTAAAATTTTGGCCAGCATAAGAAATTCTTGATCAGATTTAGGTAGTACAACAGAGCTGTATCTACTCATCGAAGTAGGTAAAATTATTTGTGAATTCGGCCTTGGCTTGATTGGGTGATTGAATAATTCGTCGTTTGGCCTGAATGGATCTGGTGCTGATAATCGATATCCTTGAGGTCGATTATTATTGTTTTGGTTATTATTGTTGTTGTTATTGGAATTTCTTGTCATAGTCCTAAATTAATATTATAACATCATAACAAATAATATTAATTTTTTGTAAATATGATGTATGATGATGATTATATTATTATTATTATATTATTATTAAAATCTATAAAGTTGTCAACATTTTTTTTTTCTAAAGAAATTTAAAATTTAAACTCATAAAATTATTTATTAGTTACTATTATTGTTATTATTAAAACTATATATATATTTATTATGTTATATGTATGTAAATTTGTCCAATTGATCTCTTTTGTTAAATTCCAAATTAATTAATTAATTTTTTTAAATATTTCGTTTAATCTAATCCAATGTATTGATATTTTTTTGTTTTTAATTAACAGAACACCAGAACACATATATGTACATATTGAATATGGGTGATTATGGTTACCAAAACCTAATTTTAGCATAAAGACTCAATTTCGTAAATAAAGTTTTTTTTTTTAATTACTATAGTTGGAAAATTTCATTTTATATAACTAAAAAAAAAAAATTCGATTTTTAAAAAAAATAAAATAAAATAATAATAAAGAAAAAAAATAAAAAAAATTTTCTCTCGTTTTTTTCAGAAATTTAAAATTCACTGACCATTGATGTTAAATTGATTTCAGTTAATTAATCAATTTTAAATCGACTTGATAATTCTAATATCGCATCATATGTACACACACACACACACACACAGCTACAACTACCGATACTGCTAACAAGAAAAAAAATAAAAAATAAAAAAATACCTCATTGAAATATTCATATTTGCAATTATTGAATCATTCACTAAATTCATAAAATCATCTTCGTCATTAACGTTATTATAATTGTTATTATCTGAATTTAAATTATTTGAATCTCTTCCTACTTCTATTATAGCTGAGGGCGATTCTGAAATATAACTTGTTATTTTTTCTGGCGAAGGACTGTTGTTGTTGATCTTGAAATTGGAATTCAGGATTGCTTCATTTTCTTCCATGGTTGATTGAACATCAATTTCTGTTATTATTGGTGTTATTGTTGGTTTTATTGGTTTCGTTGATGTGGCATTGTTGTTGTTGTTGTTGTTGTCTTGATCAATAATTGGGGTGTTGAATGAGGAAGAAGATCCTGCTTGAAAATCATATTTAGAAAAGAAATGTTTGATATGAAAAGTAATTTTTTATTGTTTGGAGAATTTAGAAAAGTTAATCTTACCATTACTATTATTGTTGTTGTTAATAATGTCGGTTTCTTCTTCCTCGTTTATTATTATTACGTTATTATTGTTATTACTATTGATATTAATATTATTATTATTGTTAATAGTATTACTGATATCGCTATTGTTCATACTTTTTTAATAAAAGATTTATTTTCAAAAATATCAAATATTATTTCTATTTGTATTTTTGTCGCGTCTTAATATTATATATATTATAAAAAATATATTAATATTAGTTTATTAGTTACGTTCGCGCGAATACGGAAAAACAAAAAGTAAAAAGAAAAAATTATTAATTAACGATGATGGATAATTATAATATCAGTTGTTAAATGATTGCATAATATAGTATGTATATATATATATATATATATATAAAAGTATATTAATAATAATAAAAATAAAAAAAAGTCTTTAAAAAATTAGAAAAAAATTTTGTTGAAAATTTAAAAACATGAAAGAAAAAGCCCTTAACACACTTTATCAATGAACTACTTAAAAACGAACAAATCAAGATTTTATTAAAAAATTTAGCTATATAAACCGTATATAAATAAGCTATGTATATTATTAAAATTTATGGATCACATACATAATAATAATAATCAATCATATTTACAAATAATCAATTTAATATAATGTATATAATATACAAATAATATACAGGTGGTGCTATAATAATTATTATTTATTAATCATAAAAGATTTTCCCAACTTTTTTTTTGTACAGGGGAATATTTTTATATGGATAAAGTTTATCAAAGTGTGGAAAGAGGAGTTAACTTAAAAGTAAATATCCAAGTAGTGTGTGTGGGATTACTTGTAAAGGTAATTTATAAAATCATTTGACATTTTATTAATTATTATTTATTATTATTTTATTATTATTATTATTATTATTATTATTTGTCATATTTTTTATTAATTGAATTTTTATTTTTTTAAATTAAATAAATTTTTGTAATCATATATCATATATAACAATATCACACAAGATTAAATAAATAAATATAAAAAAATTTTTTTTGAAAAAAAAAGGAGCAAATTTGGTGCAAAGATAAAAAAAAATTTAGAGTTGTATGTGTGTTTTATTTATTTTTTATTTATTTCATGTTCATGTTGTTATTATATATTTTCAAATTTGAAAAACCAATTAACTTCACTCTCAAAACTTTATTCCTTAATTTTTTTTTAAATTATTTCTTTCTTTACATTCTTTATAAACAAAAAAGAATCGTAAAAAGAATGTGTAACTGCTAATTGATTTATTTATTTATCTATTAATTGCTTGTTTAATTACCGGAAAATTTTTTAAACAGCGATTACGATAAAAAAAAACCAGCTTAAATTCAAATAAAGTTTAGTTTTAATCGATAATCTTTTTATTTATATTATTTCACACAAAAAGTAATTTAGACTCGTGAAAATTTCTTTTCACACACAATCATCAATTAATAGCAGAAATCATTTTTAGACTTTTAATTCGTCCCTAAATCTGTGATTTAAGGGTGTTAGTATATAATTTTATACGTGTACTTAATCTACATGTTAAGTTTTATATACCCCCAAATTTTAAAAACTAACTTCGACTAGTATTAGTAAAGGTTAAAAATTGATAATTATTTGATAATTATAAAGCGAGTCTCGATTTAGCGAATATCCAAGAAAACCCGTTACATCAAGTTTAGTTATCGTTATCATCGTATATAGACCGTTCTGGACCTCGTTAATATCAGTATTCCGTTAAATGAGATCTGCTAGTACTAGATCGAGACGCCGTCCGCTGTTAGGTTATACAATGAATGAAATAAATATTTGCGACAGAGTAAACAAATAATTTCAAAAAAGTGCATAATAGCTTTTATCATTTAAATTATTATTTAATTAGGAAAACTAACTACATTTAACAACGCCGTATCAGATTTTTCCATCACAAATTTATTATTATTAATTATTACAATAATAATAATAAACGCACCTACTCCGTTATCACGATTAAATTTTTTGCCAAAAAAATTCCGGCATGACGATACACAAACGTGCATGCAATTACCCATGTTAATATACTCGAAAAAGTAATAATGTATCTAAAGGGTTTAGAACAATAATAAATAATAGTATTTGAGATAATATTCACATTACTCACATTATCAGTTTTTTTGTTTATTATGCAATGCATTCAAACTCAAAAGGGCTTTCTTGGATTGATTTCTAATTTTGGTTAGAATTATGCCATTATAAAATGCCGAATAAGCCAATTTTTTCCTTTATCGTTGAACAATAATAATAATAATAATTAGTATAACGATCAACATTTTTGCCAGACATGAATAACGAACGATAACGGAGTAAAAAATGTCAATTCATCATCCTATCAACATCAAGGAAACGCAAAGGTTTCGTTTGTAGAAAGCTATTAACATAGGTTGTTTAATTCCCAAAGCGTCCTACCGATTTTGTTTGCACAAATTTTTTCAATTCTCTCGGAAGGATAACGCGCTTTTTATAAATATCTCTTTGTGGATACTGAACGTAATGCGTCAAGGCATTTTCTGAAAAATTATAGAGTTTGATCTACTATCCCGTCTATCTTAAAAATTTGTATTCTGGCTCTTCTTGTCTCTTCACAATCAATAAATTATTTTTAATTTTTTCATTAAAACTCATAATCATGTGAAATTTTAGCAATGGACAAATTTTGAGGAAACTGCAATTGATAATATTCAAAAATACTTATGATTTACTAGACATCACTTTAGAAAAAGTAAACATTCGCCAAATTAGAAAATAAAGTTGACGAAATAATCAAATCAATCAATTAAAAAAACATGAAATCAAATGTTAGTTATTAATGATTATATCTATTTTTTCTATTTTTAATCCATTCAAATTTTAAATTTCTTGGGATTATTTTCATTTTGCTCCAGTCTTTTTTCACTTCCTTAAAAAATAATCTATGTTGATCATTCATTGTCTTTATCAATTAAATAAATGGCAAAGTAATCTGGATCATCAACTGGTGCATAATATGCTTTAATAAGAATATATATTTTTATTTTATTTACCATATTTATAAATGATAAAAGCATGTAAAAAAATATTGATTAAAGGTACTTACTACAACAACCATCACAAAGACTATGTAAAAGAATAAATTTGTCATCAGAAATATCTTCATACAGAATTCATCAGTGTTTAGATCTTCTAAAAAACCCCATTTTTAGAATATTTAAAATATTCATCTTGTTGAATTGTCCGATTGTTGTGATCAATAAACCATCCAACTATTATTAACTTATCTCCTCTATATTTTATTTCACCAATACTGTCCATTATATTTATATATGGATTATAGTTTTTATTTATTTGCTCCATATTGTTATCAATATTTGTATCTTATTATTTGTATATATGGCATACCAGACAAAGTGAATAATTTGTACTATATACAAAATATTACGGGGTCAATTAAATTGGGGATATGTTAATCATATTAAATATTATATTTGATAAATAATATTATTACTTTTTGCCTTTTAAAAATTAAACAACAATGTCATTATGTTCTGAAGAAGGCAGTCCGAGACCTATGAATTCCTTGTTGAATGGAATGATTCACCACTAGACTTGGACGATCTTGCATGTATGTAAACTTTGTAAATAAGAAAATACCTTTGAAAAAATCAAACCAAAATTCCTTGAATTCTTTAACAGCAATGACAGAATCAACCCTCTTCAAGCTGGTACTCTTATCGTAAAGTTGAGCACAACTGCCACAAGTCCTTTTGGTTATACGTTACCCACTCTCTAACTCTGAAGTTAAAACAAATATTTTTTACGTTTACATCTGCATATCATTTGTAGTCACAATTCGTTGCAATCTGTATGTATCATGGTTCAAGAGCATATTTCCACACACGAGTGTCCTTTGGTATCTTCTATTTCATAAAGTCTGAATCATATTTTTTTTATCTATAATGAAAATTAAAAGAAAAGTGGTGATCACATTAAATAAGATAATGGAGAAAATTAAACCAAATGAAAATGGTGAACGTGAAAAATCAGTCTTTCAATTCGAATTCAAGATTAATTAATACTCATTTGTTTTCAATTCTTTATAGGAAAGAAGGAATATGGAGAATGGGAAATAGGTGAAGTTCTTAAGGAGTTTCTGCATATGAATGAAAGAACTGTATTTGATATTGATAAATTTGATATGGGTAACATGCTTGTGATATAATTATTTTAGGAATCATTATGTTTATGGTTTCTTTTATAATTTTTATGTTGCAGGAGAGCTCTCACCACCAAGTCCACCAACAATTTCTAAATCATTTTTGGAAGAATTAAAAAGGAAAAAAGATGTTTTTGAAGAAATGAGATAACATGCAGAGAATTTATTTCTCCATTCATGACCATAGCTGTCAAACATATCCAGTCAAAAGATAAAAGTCTTTGTCTTAGAGCTGAAGAGTGGCTTAATGGAAGCTGCAGTTTTGGTCCAGTTGACTATTTGGTGGACTGGAATCCTAAAGTAGAAATATCTGGCCCTCATTTTTCTGAGCTTGATGATGAAATGAAAATGAAACAAATCACTAATTATATTACATCTATCCTGCAAATGCAAGTTAATGGTCTGGGTAACCATAAAAAAATTTGCCTGTAAGTGGCATTCATTATTCAACTCTCTTTATTATATTGCTTGCCTTTTCTTTTTTACAGGGAATCACAAGAAACAACTAAAAACACAAAAGGAAGTGGTTAAATGTTTTTTGTCTAATCAAAAATGTAAAACTTTATATTCTCTTTGCTGTGCATACTTTATAAATAAAATTAAAACTCCTTTGCTGTTTATTTCTCAGAAAATTTATTTATTTATTACATTTATTGATAAAGAATTTACAGATAGAAATAAAACATTACTTTGATTAATCATTATTTTTGTCTGGGATTTATTTTGAAATAAAAAATTACAATGAATATGAAAATGCAATTATTTTTTAGAAAAAGGTTGTAATTATGTTTGCTCTTCAAGAATTCCCAAAGAATTTGCAGAGTTAAGGGAATCCTTTCAAGCTCTTTCTAAATCAGAACAAGACATATTTTTAATGGCCCAACTTAAAGCAATGGATGGTGGATCAATAAGCACTAGTAGATGCCTTAAAAAGAAAACTAAATCTAATAAAAGAACTTATTATCACTGGGATCACAATACATTACTTTGCCAAAAAACATATATCAATAAGACTTATTTTGAAAATATCAGGTGATTGACAAAAGTGTTGTTGTAGTGGTAAAGAATTTTCTGGAAAATTATGCTGTAGTTCATGGATTACCAAGTCCAGGAAGGTGCAACAATAGAATAACTCAATCAATTACATTCTTATCAGCTGAAATGAGTTACAAATCTATGCATAGATACTTTCTAGCTGGTCTAGAAGAAGATAGTAATTTGAAATCTTTGAAGTATGATGCCTTCAGAAAATTATGACATCAATTAACACCAGAGATTCAAATTATGAGTCCCAGGACTGACTTGTGTGATACTTGTCAACATTTTCGAAATGGATTACATCAAGAGGAAGAAGCTAAAGATTTGTTCAAAAGATTTAAAGAACATCTATCTAAAGCAAGGTTAGAAGGAAATTATTATAATAAAAATATCAAATTGGTGGAAGAACAAAGAAAATAGATTTTTTGGTAAAATCGCCTGTATTTAGTAAAGTATTAGTATTTAAAGATTGGCAACATTTTGTGATGTCTTTAGATGATTGGCACTATACTTTGAAAAATAAGGGAAATTATGAATAGCAGGTATAACTTTTTTAGGTTTTATAATTACCATGATTTATGTCATTAAAAGAATTAAAATAAATATTGCAATAATAAGATTATTTTCCTTCTAAGGATTTTTTTGCTTTTTGTTGGGTAATAGCACACACACCTTCATTCTGCTTTCTTTTTCTAACATTTATTATTTTTCTTTCTTCTTGGTAAAGTTCATAGGTAGTATTTTCTTTTCTTAGATAAGCTTATAGTGTTTGAGTATCATTTATTTTAAAAATATAAGGTGCAATTTTTTCCCCTTGTCCTTCTTCAAAATACTTCTAATTGTGCTAATTCTTGGGTTCCATGGTAGATCTGATGTAAATTAATTTCATATTAACTATTTTTATCTAGAGATAATCTTACAGATATCATAGTTTTGATGTATATTGATCTCTGAAATTTTTGGTGATACCAATGTTCACTTTGTCTGGTTTTGTTGCAAGCATGCCTCATATCACAGTTAACTGCGCCACTGCTCCAAAAATGAAAATTGCCATCTTAATTGAGGTTTGACCAATTTTAGAAATAATTCTCATTGGCATAGTGAGTATTATCCAGGACCCGGGTTGTTATAATTGAAATAATTGAAGTAAAAAATTAAAAGCTTTAATAAGCACTTTAAAAAATTTACTTAAAATAGAAAAGGACGTATCAATTACATATTTTAAAAATATTGTTTTGCCTGATTTCGATATGATTTTTTCTGCTATACCCAAAATAGACACATCACTTATTAAAGTTTTTACCCAAATTTTAACTACAGCAAAAAAACAGATGTTGCCTCAATTATAATAGTCCGGGACCAAATTTGATTTTTTTATATCATGAACTTTAGAATACAGTGCAGATCATCTATATATACTCGAAACTTAAAAAATTATGTGATCCACATGTTGGATTTTAAAAAAACACTACCATTCAGTAAAAAAATTAGTTTGAAAGTTACATCCGACCTGAAAACCATAAATTTTGTGGTTTAAGATAGTAATAGAAAGGTGACAATGTTTTGCAGCTGGTGTAAAAATGCAGAAAAGGAAAATATTTTACAACAGGTACACAATCATATCAAAAAGTTAAACAAAATTTGTCAATTGTTTTATTAGTTTCACTTTAATATGATAACAATGTGCATACAATTATTCGGAATATGCAATAATAATTTTCGTGTTACAATATTTTGAATTACATCATCAAATTTGGCAATGATTTTCTTTGATGTAACAAAATTTACTGAAAAAAAGTTTAACACGGAATTTATTTGGTTTCAATTCCGTGTAATGACAGGGCTCTGTCAACTTTTAGTTTAAGAAAATGATATAATTGAAGCTGACCAATTGTTGCTATAAGCAATTAATTTTGATTATAAATGATCTACATCATATTTTTTTTTTTTGAGTATAAATTACGTTTTCAATTAATTGCATTAATTTACACAGTATAAAATGATCGTCGCTTTATATTAAAAACTTTTGGTGAAATTTAACGAGTAGTTTAATATTAATAAATTAATAATGAGAATAGTAACAATTGAAATATCAAAATGGTAATTAATATATCTGAATGAACAAATGCAATTATAAAGAATATTGTGAGATCGTGTCTGAGCCACCAATGATGATGATAATAATTTATAATACGATTTCTGCGAGTATATTTATTATTATTGTTATGCTTTGCCTTCGAAACTATCTTTCACTAAACAATTCTCTCTCTAATTAATACCTCACAAAAGGCAAATGAAATAAAAAAAGAAACAAGAAGTAAAGAAAAATATAAAATAATTATACACGGAATTAGTATGAAGATTAGCCCTTTTATTACCTCAAGATTATTTTCATTGTTAAAGATAGATTTATTATTATTATAAAAATACAAGATGACAAAGACGAAGAATCAAAGACAAGGAAAGGATAATGACAATGACAAGATTTTGAGTTACGGAAATACTATCTATATGTTCTATGGTTCAGCCATCTAGTTTCCTTGTTCCTGCGATCTTTTGTTCCAATTTAATATTTATTGAAAATAATTTAAATGTTCCTTTTTGATGTTCCTTTTGGAAGAGTAAATTCATGTTCTATATGAGATTGGTTCAATTACGTTTATCAGGTAACACACCTAATATTAATTAAATTGAACCTAATTAGTTTTTTTCGTGTTGATTATTACCGGTTTTTGTCACATAAATCATTTTCAAGTTTATTTCACTGTCTCCAGCAAAAAAAAACAACCTCCGAGGTAAATAACTCATTTTGTGGAACGGAAAAAAAGGAAAATTGACTCCGAAATTTTTTGATTTACTTTTAATCCAAATTTAGAAAACAAGAATCATCTGAAAATTTTATAATTTTCAGCTGATATTAATTTTATTGCATATATGTTATTGGGAGATGCCATGCTAGTAAGTCAATAAATCTAATTATTGTCATTATCGATCAATCCATTCCTGTCAGATTAATATAATTAAAAACCATATTCACAACATACATTTTTTCATCATCTAAATGCAACGTTTGCAATTCTAAACCATGATTTCTATTTTTATTGAAAAATACAATAATTGGTTGTGTTGCCCGAATTATTTTGGTCTTGTCATCTCTAACAATTTCTTCAGCGGTTCCACAAATCGCAGGACCCCCATATTAGAGGTTACATCACTTGAAATTTATTAATGGCCTTAGATGTAACCTCGCAGGAAATCTTTTTATCTAAATAATTTGATTAGAGTAAAAAAAGGAAATGAAGGAAAGTATTTTGAAAAGATTACATACCAAAAGTTACATCAGATAACAAGAAATATTTCAGTATGTCAAAATAAAAATTAGTTTCGGGTAAATTTAATATTGTACACAAAGATAATAATAATAACACGCGGGTTGATCATTATTATTCTTTCCCCCATCTCAGCTACGTACTTTTTTTTTAATGTTCTATTTCAAGCCATTTGCCGTTGAAACTCTTCCTTTTGAGGAACTTGATTTATATCCTTTGATCATCGGTACTAAATTTTTATTATGTCTATTATGTATTACTTGACTCCCTAAATAGCAAATAATAACCTATATTAATATACTATTTTAATCCCTATTAATGAATGAAAAAATTAATCCAATTTCAAAATCGGATGGGGTTTTAATATTTCATATACCAAATATAAAGCATTTCTAATTAAAAAATTCATTATTCATCAAATTGGGTTACATTAAATTGAGCCAACTTTAAACTATATTAATATTAGTATGGGGGTCTGTTTGTAAATTTTTTGAGTATATAACAATCCTTGCAAAAAAATTAAAAGATTTCGACTGATTTTTTCCAGGGCTGGCAGCGTAAAGGGGTTAAAAACCTAATTTAGTAATAATTATCTTGACTAAACTTGATTAAACTTGACCTAACATATAACTAAATAGTTTAGTCAGTTTGGCCAAGTGCTCGTTTGAGTTACGCAACCAGCCCTGATTTTTTCACCAGTTATAATCCTATAATATATATATTATGCAAAAAACTTGATTTTTGTCAGAGGGCGCTTTTGCTAGAAAATCCCATATGCTTCAGTTTTTTTTCTTTTCTTGATGCTTCGGCTTTATCGGCGTATAAATATTGAAATTTATCGATAAGTTCTTTCTTTCTTTTTTTCTTCAGCAGAGACAATGCAAAATTAGGACGGCGATTATCTATAATATATATCATTAGTTTATTAACTGAATTTATACAGTATATTTGGCAAAAGATTGAATGATCCAAAAGAATAATTATGTAATAAATAAATGTTCGTTGATTCCTGTTAAAGGAGAAACAAGCAAGTGCGCTAATAACTCCGTGTAAATTCTTCACATATCAGCCGATTTGGTTTTTTGGATCCTTTTTTCAGCCTTATATCTTATTGTGTCTCGACGTTAATCACGTTAAACATGTCAATAGAATGATAATTAATCC